AACGAGTCATGCAGCAAGTTGCTCCGCCGGTTGCACAGCGGGTTCTTGTAACGGGGAGTGCGAGTGGCATTCCGATCTTCATGAAGTACGGTTCACTTGACATTGAACGCATATATAGCGTGAATGAATCATCAATAATTATTCGTCGAACGTAAAACTTGCAGACTTCCTCTTCTAATTTTGGAAGGAAAAAAAATCTATAAACCTAACTTAGATGACTCCTTTTTAACATTCTGACACGTAACAGCGTCAGAATGCAAATAACCCAGATAACATGCATATTGCATAAGCTATCTAAAAGACGTTTAAATATCTTATGCAACACAAATATGTTATCTGGGAATACAGCTTTAGGATAATTTAAAGAGACAAGTATTTGAATAATGCCCGTTTCCATCAATGTAGATTAACTCTTTAATCTCGGTTCAACTTTAGAACTAGAAAAAGACGAAGAATAAATTGAACCGAGATTAAAGTTAATCTACTGGTCTATCTTAAAGTTAATCTATTGGTGGAAATGGGTATAAGAGAATTTGAAGATATCTTCTCGTTAGATCCTAGTGTTTTCGAACATTTTTTATATTCTAATGCATATTGATGTAAATTACATAATTCTAATCAAAAATTGCATATATTAATACAAGTAACACAACGTAAGCTTAAGCCCGGTTTCATAATTCGCGATTAACTTTTTATTTAACCGAGTCAACTATTTCTTATCTCTTTCCAATAGAATTGAAAAAAGATAAGAAATAAGTTGACCCTGGTTGAACCGGTCGAAGAGTTGAACCGCGAATTGTGAAACTAAGTCATGATTTTTCTTTCGATAAAGTTATATATTTTCGCGTTCTTGCTGATATCAAAATGAATTCGATCGTATATCGTTCTGGAATAATTTCAGAGTTGAAAACTTAAGATTTTACAAGGAGACATCTTCAAATTCTCAAATAAAATTACTTTTAAAAGTTATTTGAACTTGGAAGTTTAAAGATATGTCTTTGTCAGATCACAACTTTTCGAGTCCGAAATTACTTCAGGACGATTGAATTCATTTTGACATCAGCAAAAAATATGCGAGAAAAACAGGAATATATACTTTATCGAAAGAAACATTAATCTTACATTAATAGGAAAAAAATAGAGAAAGCGAAGATGTGATGCTTAATATATTAGTTCTCTGTGAAAAGTTACCCAAGTTTTATACTGTTTATTTTCTCGCAACTTTGATCTAAGAAAGTGTTCCTGCTGATTCATCTTGTTTATACATCTATAATACATGACTTGCTATTCATAAAGAGGAATAGCACTTTAGCTACACTTTCTACTTTGTGCCTTTTCTACTTTCTCCCCTCCATGGAAAAAATGTAGCTAAAAGGGAACGGACAGTCTCACTGCATCAACAATGGCAGGCTAATTTAGTTGTAAAATATTTTGTCAGTAACAAGAAAAAAATGTACATAAGTTTAACATAAATTTTAGCTGATAATTAAAAATTTGTATATTTTCACGTTGCACATATGTACATAAAATTTATCGCAATTCATTCGGTATGTATATAAATATTTCTTTGAAACTAGAATTATAATTCGTATTAATAATAATTAATATTTATCATTGTCGATAGTAATACATTTTAAAAGTTTTTTCTTTTTTTTTTTTTCTTAAAAACCCACATAATTTACACATAAAACGCAAACTGACTATTGTACACGTTTGCATGTACAAAAAGATTTACTTTCTCTGTATGAATATATTACAATCTATACGCCTAAAGAGCTAAATATATTACATACAATCCACCTTAGAAAACATTAATATAGAACTATACCTTTATAATTTTTATACAGATTGTCCTGGAAGTCACGAATTTCCTTCTAAAATATAAACACAAGGAATAAAATAATTCATATATCTATGCATTATTTCGCATATTTTTAAATATGCGGTAAAACATTGTACATCTACAGTGTACATAAAATATCATAGACATTTCATTATAAAACAATACAAACATGAATGTGTAAAAAAGAACAAATTGTGTATCTTTTTATATGTGTTTTAGGATAATATTTGTATCGTTTTATAAAAATGCGTAAAAAAAAACAATATATTAAGCCATATATCTATTACTTAACATAACTGCAGAAGTGTCTTTCAATTGAACTTTCGCCGTGATTAATCGACCCATTATTCAGCGATGACTCTATAGGCGAGAGAAAGTGCAACTTCCGAAACAGGCCGCATATGCAAAAATATACGGAGATTGATCTAGTCATTTTTATCACAATTCACGTTTACTAATGTAATCGTAGATTGCATTAGGACAGCTTTGTTTCTATAAAGAATATAAAACTAAACAAAAAAATCTGTGTGCACGTATACTATAACTCAATATTAATAACCCAAACACTGGGAAATGTGTGCTCAGCTGCGTAGGAATGATAATCGTGACATCACAGTCTTCGTTGGCGATAACGCTGCATAAAGTTGATCAGTAAGTGAGCAACAAATGGCCATAAAATTAGTAAGACGAACAAACGCGGTGGACATTCTTGTAACGGCCACCATTTCAGATACTTTCGTCTAACAATGTGCTCCTAAAAAAGAAGAAGGTTGACATCAGCGATAGATAAAATAAATAATAAGAAATATTATTTCTCATTTTGTTATTTCAAAGAAATCAAAGGTATTATTTTTTCTGTTAAAATTAGATATAGCTAAATAATAATTATGTTACGTACTGTCGAAGGCGCCAGCGCTTGTAGGGCTTGCCCTTCTAAACCTCGTACTCTGGCTGTTATGCGATCTAAATCTCTTTGTAGATGCTGCATAGTTGTCGCGATTTGATTCAGGAATTCTGCATTGGCTTTATTATCATCTTTCTTCGTTCTCTGTCTACTTCTCTCTCTATGATTCTCCGATATCGTCTGCGCGTGACCGTTAGTGTTGCTATATCCATTAGTTAATTCAGTATTCTCTTTTATAACATTTTCTGTACTTGAATGATCAATTCCGTTCTTTGCTGTGGTTTGTACCTTTTGAGAAGCAATAGTGGACTTAAGTGCATCTTTTTGCGCTCTCTCTGGCGCTGACTGCAATAAAATTGAATTATTTATAAAACAGAATAATTGACGTAATCTGAAACGTAATGTTAATGTCATACTTCAACAGTATCTATAAATTCCTCTTCTTCGCCATCAGTGTCCTGTGGCAGCGGGCTCGCAGTGCGGCTGCTAGTCGGACTGGTTTCCAAACTACTTGTTATGTGCCGAGAAGCATTCATTACTCTGTGAGGTGATGTTTCTCTTGACACTAATAAAATAAGAAAATAGCTTTATGCAAAAGAAGAAAACATTTTTCGATATATATTATGCTTAAAGAACTTGGACTATACTGTTATCACATTACATAATATATGATAACATTGATAACTCTGATAAAAATTCATTTCTTTAAGTTACCTAATAAATAAGTTACCTCTCTATGATATCTTTAATATTCTCAATGTAAATTTTTGATAAAAATGTTTCTATAAATAAAAAATACTTAAATTTATTACTTGATATCCGATTCAAAATATATGTCAACGATTAAAACGATATAAAAATAGCAATATACTGGCATGTTTCGATATTATGTAATAATTAAATTAAAACTCTAATTAATATAAACCGGTGATGGTATGACGTCCGGTATGACATAATACTGATATAATTTTTCGAAAATACTGGTATGACATAATACCGGTATAATTTTTTGAAAATACCGGTATTATGTCATATTATACCGGTATTACTACTATTATAAAATATCTTTATAACTTACTTTCATAAAAATCTGTTTACATCTCGAGTATTTTTATGACTTGCAAAAATGTTATTTATATAAAATTTATATATTGCTAAAAGTTAAAAAGAAATGTACCTAATGGTGAACCAGACAATGGCGATCCCGGTTGAGAGCGGATACGTTCCAGTACTGGTCCCACGAGTAATTCCAAATCCTCAGCTGGTACGCTTTCATAAAAAGAATCCAAACTGCCGAGAAACGTTGCCACATTATCTGTGTAAGACATCGTCTCGACAATCTGCAATATAATGACAATTCTCGTTTAATGCATTTATTTTGCGTGAGCTTTTAATCTTCTAAAAAAAACATTTACAACATTTCACAAAAATTTATATTTACTTTCTTCAATTCTTCCACATAATTATTCATGGCTTCTGTACGGCTCATATTGCCAAGACGTGTCCATGCATCCCATTTTGCTTTCTTCACTACCTCCCAGAATGCGGGTTTAGATTGTTGGCAAGGTCCTTCAATCGCTTGTTTGTAATACGAATAAAAACGCAGCATAATCTCATGGCTAGGCTGGTACGCTCCTGAAACGTTGTATATTATAATTACAAAATATTTATCATTGATTTTGTTATTCTTCCAAAATTAAATGTTGTAACATATCACAATATGTAAATATGTATTGCAAGAACAGATAATTTTG